TAATATCGGATCGGTCCATCTCTAGTTTTAAATAGATCATTTGTTCATAAAGAAACAGAATGTAATTTGTTTCCATTTATTTAAAGTTCTATTAAGCTATGGTGTCCACTTTTTGGTCTCACACTCACAAAAAGTGGACACCATAGACTCACACTTAGTTTACCTGCAGCAAACCTTCAGATAGGTTAACAGATGTGATAATGTGCAATTCGAAGAAACAATCTTCTTAGACTGAACAGTCTTCTTCAATCTAAAATACTAATTGTGGCTGTTGAGCGAAAAAAGCTTGTGTTTATGTGTAATTACACTGGTGATGCTTTCTCATTCCAGTTGCTGTGAGTAGGTTACCTTACTGCAGTAGATTGCATAAGCAGGTGTCAAAGCTGGAAGCGCACCGAAGAGTGAACGCTAGGGGAAAATATGATCAGTGTGTGCTTATTCTTGGCTTGGATTGCACAGCTGTTTAAGAGATATGCTCACCGACCGGGTCTCCAAATGCCTTTTCCCCCTCTTTCTTCTTTGAAATAAAAGCCGCAAGATATTCAAAGTAAAATCATCTCCTCTTCTTGTTTTTACGCAAATCGACTTTTCAGACTTTAAAGGATTCCTTGTTTGTGCCAGATGTCTCTCCCTGTGTTTATGTTTGTGTTGTTTTGTGTGAAAAAGTGTGAACGTTCATGTGTGTATGTCGGAGACAGAGAGGCGGAGAGAGGTGGAGATGGTTTGTGTATGTGTCTGTCATTGCTGCACAGGGACAGTGTTTCATTCCAAAACACTGTCCCTCAAGCAGGACAGTCCTTGGCAGGGGAATATAACAAGAGTCTGATGTGCTCTTAGCCTTAAAGTGAATCATTGTTTATGACTGGCTTGAGAGAAGTTGAGCGCTGTGAGTGTTTCTCATCTGCCTCAGTCATTTTCCCCCTCTAATATCTCACAAAATGTTTTGGTAAAGATTGTGTAATAGGAATGTTCATATTTAATGTCAGGGTTGATGAGAATGTCATCAGTCACTGCTTATGTTTTTTGTTCACTGTGATTTGTAAATGAGAACATTTTTGTTCTGTAGCATTTTCCCTATAAATTAGCCCTAGTTACATATATAATTGCATATAGTTCAGTCCCACCATTTGTTACCTTTGTATTTTGAGAAAAGTAATAAAAAAGAACTGCCTGATAGAAAAGAGCAGATCAAGGAAAAAGTGACAGAGAAAGAAGTGAGGAAAGTGTGGGCAGACAGGCAAACAGATGGTTCAAATAGTTCAACAGTTTTGTGAGCTACTGGCAGGCAAAATGTTTTAATATTTGAAGGGTGCAAGACATTTGTATGCCCCCAGTGCTTGAGAAGAAACGTTATCCCTGCGCTGACCACAGTGGCTGCGTTTGATGAAATACTGTAAGAAATCTGGAGAGTATTATACACTTTTCCTCCTTTGTGCTACTTGGTTAATTGTTGTACTTGTACAGTTTTGAAATTCCATTTGTGTATTTGCTCTTTCAAGATGTATTCCCTCCCCAGAGTTTGGAAAAATAGGCATTGCATATGATCAGTATGTCAAGCTTGTTCAGAGGTATGTGTGAGAAGTTAAGTAAAGAAAATACTCGAGTGAATTACTGTGAGAAAAAAATGAAATAATTATATGCAGTGTCTATTTAAAAAGCTTTTTTTAATTTAAAAAGCTAAAACATCTGCAATAACACCTTTGAACGATGGACACGGTGCCCTCAGAGGTTCAGTGTCACAGATAGGTCATAGCAGCTGCTGTTTTATTGAAGTTTTATTTATTTTATTCTACAAAGTAATTCCCGTGAAAGGTTTTATTGGCTCAGTGAAATATTTGGAGCACCCCAAATGTTATGTTAAGTCAGGCTAGGTGTTAGCTTACATAGTGTTTTCATAACTATGTGTTCTCTGTGTATTAATTTTTCCTCCACAAGTCAAAACTACCTGGTATACCTGTCCACAGGCAGTAACATTTAGTGCCATATAGAGAGAAAGGAGAAAGAGTCATATACTTACATACATACTTAGTTGCTGTCATAGAGGAAACTATGGATCATGTCTTAGCACGCTTACAAGGTCAACTCTTTTTGTGTAAGTGATTGAGCATATGGTGGCAAATTCCATTTCCTTGGTCAGTCGTTCTCAATCCCAAAGACAAAGAAAAATAACCTGTCGTTATATTGACTAATCAGAACAGATACCAGACTACATCACACTACATTCACATCTTTATAGGACGTCTTTTTCTCTGGCAATAACTCATAAATTAAGTTGAATTAAGTCTATGTTTTAGGATTGCAGTTCATTCTAGTTTTCATATTTTTAAATACTTTAAATACAAACAGATTTCTCTTAGAAACTGTGGACATCCACCTTGAATTTAATATCCTGCACAGCCTGACTCAATGTCATTTTATTTAACCAATGGCAGATATACACAGTCTGCAGGAACAAAAATCAAGGCAGTATTAAGGATAAGAGTAAAAGTCTTCACAGTCTTAAAAATATATGTGAAATGAGAATGAATAATGTCTAAAAGGATGCACAATGAAATTAAATAAATAATGAATGCTGAGACTTACAGATGAAGAAATGTGTGCTCATTATCAAATATCATCAGAATCAACACCATACCTGTGTTAAAAACAACGTGCTTTATGAAAAAATAACATAAACAATTTAAAAAAAAGATTTCTGAGGCAACGTAAAAGGGGCACACTGATTAAAAACATTTTAAATAATGCAGCTAATATTACAACTAATTGATACAAACCCATACAATAAATCTGAGGTTTAAAAGGGACTGGAAAGAGGCCAATCTTTAGCAGGCGATAATTCAAGATGTATCTGTAGCACCAAACTTTATGGGGAAATATAGGTGGGTGTCATCTGCATAGCAAAGAAAGTCCGTTTTAAGGGCTAACATTTCTAGGAAAAGTAAATATTTCATAACAAAAAAAAGTAAGGATGGGTTTTATAGATAAGAAACAAACCGTCCGCCTGCCAGTAATTTTCCATGTGCAGTTCTTCTTCCTTGTTAGCAAGGGCGACTACTTGAAGCAGATGTTAGAATTCCCTGGTCATAGACCCAAAAACATCTAAGAGTGTCTGTCTGCTGTTTTATCCCTCTTTGCTTAAAATCAAATGTGAAATATGCACATTTAAGAAACAAAACAGCCCACATTTATTTTCCTTACTCTCGTGTAAATATTTAGTGAATTAAATGGTTTTCCTGTGCATTAAAGATAAATTTGCACACCTTTTCTTTGATTAGTGGCTCATCCTTTTTATGTCCTGCTCTTTGGTTAAAGTTTGCTGTGAAAGAAGGAGATGACAGTTAACATGTGTCGAGGCTGTTGTTTTACACACACATGCACATTGTCCGCGGATCCATTCATTGATTTATTCTAGTGTGGCTTAGACAGATGATTCATCCCATTATGTCCATGCCAACTCTGAGGAGATCCACGCCATTGCTGTGGATCATTCCTATAATTCTGAGGAAGAACTAAAAAAAGGCCAGAGAGCTGTGCAATGCAATACAGACACTAACATCAACAAATGCACCAAGATGAAGACAAGGAATAAATCCAGGGTGGAGTAGAGCAGGAGGGCAAGGAATGAGAAGCTGATTGTGGAATTTGGGGGTGACTGAATCACTGTCAGGCTTCATAAATGGGCCAAGTGTGTGTGGTCTTTTGAAAATCCCTGGGTGACATTTTTGGACTCGTGCATATTTTCTTGTTATAGTAAATATATTGCTGCCTTGTCCAGTGCCATTTATTTTCCTTGTGATTACACATACAAACTATGCTTAAGTGAAGGAACTGGGAAAGCACGAAATTGAAAAGTTACTGTCTACTCATAGAAGAAAGAGGAAATAAGAAAGAAGTTCTGCTAAAATCAGTGTGTCTGTTATTAACTGTTCTATCTATTACCATTGAGTTTGGATACATTTGTTGTAAATTATAAAAAGAACAAGCGAGCAGCTAGAGCTAGAGTATTAGTTTGAGGGGGGACTTGTCATTGTAGCTTTTGTTGTTTCTTTCAGTCAGTGTTACAGCAGGTGCAGGTAAACTCTTTCTTTCCTATTGCTTTACCAACATTTACCACCAGCACCTTCTTTCTCTAGACAGGTTATCAGTCTTTACATGGAAAATCTATGTATGCATATGGAAAGATGGATTTTCAAATGAGTCATAGGCAAACATAATTATGATAATTGTAGAATAAATGGCACATATGCCATTAACATCCTTTCATTAAGCCATATGTCAAATTTATTTACGTATGTTAGTTGTTGTTTTGGTTGTTTAATAGGCTGTTGAAATATACTGGTCACATATGATGGGAGCACAGGGCGGTTAGTCTCTAATGTGTTCCAGAGATCTAAGCTCATACAGATGTTGCCTCTTGTAATTTAATGCAATGTGCATGTATGTGCTTCCTCTTTAGGGGCCACCCTGTTTGTGGCCTCTCTTCACCTTCATGCAGCACTCAGGTTATGTTCCTTGTTTGTTTGTCCACTGAATTTCTTAGTCCAGGTGGATTCTGAAAAAGTCAGCTGAGATGCCCATATGGTAGATGGGTATAGATAGAATGCTTCATATCAGTAGTAAAGCAGTTCCTGGTTTAGAAATTCCTTCGGAGACAATCATGGAAAAAGAGCCTTTGGCTGATGAAACAGTTGGGAGCGGGGATCTAATTTCCTTTTCCAAAAGCTCATGAAAAACAGACAGCCTTAGATAAGTACAGACCTTGGTTATTTATCTGCTGTGTAAGGAGACTTGCCGTCCCTCACGGCTGAGTTGGGGGGGAACTGTACAATAGCTCTTTTTGAAAGCTTACAGACTCCCCTAAAGCCTTGATTCATTCCATAAAGTTGCAGTTAATTAATAGTCAAGAGACTACTGCCTCTGGTACTGCACAACATCTGCCTTGTTGTTTTATTGTCACATTTTATTATCACTGTGCTGGTGTAAAGCTGAAGAAATAGGTGTATGCTACATGGGCGTTAACATTTGGTTTCTATTTGTAATTGTGGGGAAAAAAAGACAAGAGAAAGAAACGTTAGTGGTGTCTACAAAGAAGACTCTCTAAAAGATTTGACATTAAATTTGTTTTCCTTTCCTTTTTTTCAATAAGCTTTATGTGATTGACAAAACAAATGATTGAAAGAAAAAGGATTATTGATTGAAAAGGTCCAAGATTTAATCCTACAATGGGAAACGTGAAAAGCAAAATCTTAAATGCAAACCCCATGGAACATTAATTTATTTAAATTCTCTTCTGTACTGTTTAGAGACCTGGACAATACAGTTAAACTTAGTGGGCTGGATTCTGGATTAAATGAAGATAGATTAGGCTACTGTGCTAGGGCTTTTTGTTTCCAGCTGCAGATGGGAAGTGGTCTGTTCAGCTCTTTTTAATGCCACTGACTAGCTTCTACTCAGCAGTGTCTGAGGCTTCCTGGTATTGGAGCTATTTGCCAAACCAAACTAGAAAAAAGCTGCTTTCGCAGAAACTACACTGAACTAAATAGCACTACTGGCCAACTCATATAGTATTGTGAATTATTCAACAGAACGTTTATGTTGAGGGACACGCAGAATAAAACAAAAGTCTGGTAATTGAATTTGCAGCAGGGAAACGTGCATCCTAATTCGTGACTCTGTCGTCTTAAAACTTTGTTGACTTGTCTTTCGCTGAAAGTCTTCTTCTCCTCTATTTCCAGGGTGACATCCAGCAGCTGCTGATAGTGGCAGACCCCAGGGCAGCCTATGACTACTGTGAACACTACAGCCCCGACTGTGAAACCCCCAACCATCAAGACACCCCACAGGCTCAGGAACCTGAGTACGAGGTCAGTACTGGGGTAGCTTCAGAAACAGAGATCAGGTGGGAGCACTATCTCTTGCTTAACTGAAGCAAAAAAGAAAAAGAAAGCTGGGAGAGAGGAGGGGGGAGTAGGGAGGATTTTATAGAGAAGAGGCAAGCAGAGAAATAGTTGTGGTAAGCGAAAGAATTAAGGAAACAGGAAGGGAGCAAATATGTTAGTAGTAGCAGGAATTTAGAAACAGGGTTTTATTCTTTGATGTTTTTAATAAGAGAGTCAAAGATGAGTTAAAAGGACAAAAAAGGAGACTGTGATAAATGACATTTAAATTTGTAAAATGGGAAGAATTGAAAGGCTGGGTGTAAGGTGTAATTACATACCAGGTGTCTGTGCTTCCTCAGTGCAGTTTTGCATACTTGCCCTGGTTTAATGTAGCTCAGTTTCAGTCTCTGAGAAATAAACCAAAAAAAAAAAAAAAATAATAATTTCAGCAATTTGTGTGGAAACTTTTTACAAACAGTCCTCCATGAATTAGAACGTACGTGCACGGGTTTCTGTGTCAACTCTAAATCTGTCATTTTCTCCACTTTGTGTTTTACTAGTGGAAACATGCTGACATATCAAAATACATGGTTTAGTTTGAAATGCAAGTTTTATTACCACTGGCTCCCAAATACCACTTGTTGTTTCTTTAGCCAGATTTCTTAATTGAAATACAGTGCTTTGTGTCAGGACTTCTTTTTCTTTTCCATATTCATTTTTTTGTTATTTTGCTAGTTCAAGCTGTTCTGCCGGCTGACATTTTCCTTCAGTATTTCACTAAATAACTGATGAGCTCACACTGGAAACCTTTCTTTTTTCTCTGCCACAAAGTCTGAGCCCACTTTGGAGTGGCCCCGTGATTTATATCACTAACGAGTTCTGCAGGCTCTGCCCAAACTCCCAGGGAAATTTAAGCTATCCCTTCCCCAGCTAGACTTCCAGTACCTGGAAAAGTCGACTTTAGATTCTTGGTTTTTAAGAAGAAAAAAAATCAGGAGCTGGTTCTCTATTCAGAAATATTGGCTGTAGAGTGGGTATAGGTCTTGGAAAATGTTGCTTCATCATCAGGTTAGTTCTCAGCAGCAACACAAGGAGCTTGTCAATTCAAATAGACAGCAGGGAATGGCTTTAAGAACCTTGTAAATCTGGTTTATTCATTGTTGGTTTCTGTACACTTATAACAAGAATGTTCTTCCTTCATTCCAGATCAGTATTTAAAAAAAAGTTATGTACTCATGCACAACTGAAAAACATTTCCTGAAAATGACAAATCACTGTTGAAAAGGATATTTTTTGTGATCTTTTAGCCCAAACTGTTACATTTACCTTTGTTAGGTGAAATGATTTTGTCCTGAAGCAAGTGGTCATGAACCACATGTTACCAGCTTGGTTAAAAGAGCAAGCGAAGTGATGGAGAAGGAAGCTGGGGGGAGTGCTCTTTTTTATAAGCACCCCTTAGTATTTACGTCTTTCATCCATGCCTGTGGTGAAGGCCTTCAGCTCAGCCAAGCACTTCAACACCATAAATCTTTATAAATTATTTCTTCATTCTCTATCTCTTTCTCTCCCTCCCTATTTCCATCTAACCCTGTCCTCTCTCTCTCTCTCTCTCTCTCTC